AAACACCTGGCTTTGCTTTCTCCCCAGCTTCTCCTCATGCAACCTTCTGTGAGAAGCAGCCATGTCAGAGAGCCCATATTTGGCTTCCTGGTTTACCTATGTTTCTCTAACTGCTTCACTTAAGACTACAGGGCAGTCTATTGGTGTGTATGTATGCCCTTACAGTGTAAATTTCAAGAAATGGATTGTAAATACAAAAAGAAAATATACCTAGAGTCTTTATGGATAATAACTCTCATTACAGTATATGCATGTAATGCAAATAGAGGAAACCACACAACAAAGAGCCAGAGGGGGGGAAAAAAGCGAAAAAAGGAATGAGAAAAGCAGAGAATGTAGATTCCAATTTTGTCTTTCTAAGTCTCTGGCTATTGCAACTCACTGACATATATATTCAGTAAGGTATTGTCTTCCTCATTTGAGTGAGGTGTTCTTCATTCCTGTAAGTGCCTCGAGACTCTGATTAGGCAGCTAGTATCATTATCCTCATTTTGTTGGTATACTTGCTCAGAACTTGGGGCAGGAAAGGAGCCAAGTATGGAGTTCTGAAACTCTTAGCTTCACCACTGGCCAAATATCTCCTAAGATAAGTTGCTGTTAAATCCACTGCTGAGACTTGATGGAAGTGCATCTTTCTCAGACTGGAACAAGAATGCAGCATGAGTAAAGCCCTTCTTTTAACTATTTAAACATTTATTTTATTTTATGTTTGTGAATGTTTTGCCTGCATGTGTGGGTATAAATCAAGTGCTTGCAGTGCCCAGAGAAGCCAGAAAAGGACATTGGAGTCCCTGGAACTAGAGCTGCAGCTTTGGGTTGCCATGTGGGTGCTGGGAACTGGAACTCGGTCCTTCTGCAACCATTCTGTTAGTCTGTGTCTTTTAAATGGGGAGTTGAGTCCGTTGATGTTGATAGAAACTAGTGACCAACAATTGTTACTTACTTTAGATGTGGTGTTGGTGGTGTCACTGAGTTTCATTGCTTGTCTTCTTTTGGTTTTTTTGTTGTGTAGTTATCTATTTCCTCTGTTTCCTTCGATGTAGTTGTTTTCTTTGGTTTGGAGTTTTCCTTCTAGTAACTTCTGTAGAGCTGGGTTACTATGTAGATATTGTTTAAATTTGGTTTTGTCTTGGAATATCTTGAATTCTCCGTCTATGTTGACTGAAAGTTTTGCTGGGTATAGTAGTCTGGGTTGGAATCTGTGGTCCCTTAAGGACTGTATGATTTCTGTCCAGGCCCTTCTGGCTTTCATAGTTTCTGTTGAGAAATCTGGTGTGATTCTGATAGGTCTACCTTCATATGTTACTTGGCCTTTTTCCCTTGCTGCTTTTAGAATTTTTTCTTTGTTTTGTAGGTTCAGTGTTTTGACTATGATGTGACGTGAAGAATTTCTTTTCTGGTCTAGTCTACTTGGTGTTCTGTAGGCCTCTTGTATGTTTATGGCCATCTCCTTCTTTAAGTTGGGAAAGTTTTCTTCTATAATTTTCTTGAAAATATTTTCCGGACCTTTGAGCCTGATGTCTTCTTTTTCTTCTACTCCTATTATTCTTAGGTTTTGTCTTTTTATGGTGTCCATGATTTCTTGGATGTTTTGTGTTTGGAACTTTTCTGATTTTATTTTTTCTTTGAGAGACATATCAAATTCCGCAAGTGTATCTTTGGCTCCTGAGATTCTTTCTTCCATCTCTTGTATTCTGTTGGTGATGCTTTTCTTTGTAGTTCCTGATCTTTTCTCTATGTTCTCCAGCTCCTGGTTTTTCTCTATTTGTGTTTTCTTTATTGATTCTAATTCTGTTTTCATGTCTTGCACCATTTCCTTCATCTGTTTGAATGTGGACTCCTGCTTTTCAATGATAGCTTCTATTTTTTTGTCCGTTTCCTCTCTATGTATCACTAATTGTGCCTCTACTTCTTTGGGTATAATTGCCTATATTTCTATGAGAGCTTTGTTTATTTCTTCTTTATTTGCCTTCATTTGTGTGGATATTTCTTTGAGAGCTTTGTGCATTTCTTCTCTGTTTGCCTCAATTTTCCTGGTCATTTCTCTGAGAGCACGATTTGTTTCCTCTTGGTTAGTCTCGATTTCTTTGGTTACTTCTCTGAGGGCTTTGTTCATTTCATCTTTATGGGCCTCTAATAGCTGGAGAAACATAGTTTTGAGGTCGTTTTCTTGTATATCTAGTGAATTGAAGTGTCCATTGTTTTGTGGGGTTGCTGGTGAAGTTATTATGTCCTGATGTTTGTTGGGAGTGTTCTTACGTCTGCCTCTAGCCATCTGGTTATTTATAATCCTCACTGATTGTTCCTCGAGATTGTAGTTTGGGCTATGATCCTCTCTTTCTATTTTCTGGACTGTTTTTTCAGGAAGATGAGAGAGGTTCACTGCTTTGGGAGTGTGCAGTGTGTTTTCAGTTTTGCCTAAGTAAGGAATGTGACGCTGGCGCTATTCGCATGTGCTTTTAGCGGGCGCAGTGTGCATGCGCAGATTCTCTGACTATTGCAGTGGCCTGCAAGCCACTATTACTCAGTTCTGTCTGAGATCCAGGGATTGTTTGCCTGGATTACCCTGGTGGACCCGCAAGGCAGAGGCTTCAATGTTGGGGTCGCTATCCCAAGAATCCCTATGATGACCACACTAGGGTTATGGGTGGCAGGGATCTTGTCTGGTTGCTTCTGTGGAGAGGCCCTGGGTCTGGGGCAATCTCTCCCTAGAAGGCTCACTCACTCTCTTGCAGGACCAGTTGGAATGCACAGGGGTTCCCCTTGCTCACTACTCTCTGTTTTGGTCCTGCTGCGGAAGTGCACGGGTAGGCTAACAGTCAGCTCTGTGACACTGTGGCCGCAGGACTCGGTGTCCACCTTTCCTGTGTGCTGCCTCTTTGTCCTTTCCCTCTGCCAGGAGGGGTTATGTTGACTGGTCCCTGGGTGGCGCGGGAAAGAGTTAGGATGAGTGTACTCAATCCTAGATCCCGGGCCCAGATCTCTCTGCCAGAAGCAGCCTAGCGGTAAAATCTGTGTTTGCTGATCCCAAGAGAGTGCCAGGTAGGGTTGAGTGTCCTCAGATCCAGAGCTTGGGTTTCTCTGCTAGGGGCCGCTGGGTGAGCTGGAGAGAGGGTGCTGTGTCCTTGGCAGGCTGCCTCTCTGTCCTTCCCCTCTGACCTTCTCCTCTGCTAGGACAAGCTTATGGAGGTGCTCTCAGGGGAGTGCCAGCAGGGGTTGGGGCTTCTCAGTCGGATCCTGAGCCCTGAGCCGGCGTTTCTCTGCCAGGGGTCGGCGGGGGGGGGGGGGGGGGCGCCGGTGATAGAACCTGCTGCTAGACCTTATTGTGCTGGACCCTGGATAATCTCAGGACGTGTAGAATGACCACAGTCCCAGATCCCGAGCTGTAGTTTGTTTGCTAGGAGTGGCCGGCAGCACTGGAGTTCCAGCACTGTGAAGCCGCTGTGCGCCTCTTTATCCTTCTGCTCTGCTGCGGCAGGGTTATGGCGGCGTTTGGGGGAGTGCCCAAAAGGATTGGGTTTTCTCAGCCCCGATCTCGGGTTGGGGTACAGACAATGTGGTCTGTGGCAGATTCTGCTGGATGCCTCCTGCCTCCTCCCAAGAGGGAGTAGGGATTTTGAACTGGGCGCGCAGCTGAAATCTGTGCGTGGTGGGAGCTCAATTGTGATGGCGGCACGTACCCGCCACGGTCGGAGAGACCTTCCAGGGAAAGACTGGGTGACCAGTGACCAGTCTGGTAACTTTGCTTCCCCGTGGGGTTTTTTTTCGACTGGAACTCCCAGCCTCAGGCACCCTTGTGCCCATCAATCAGCCTGGGAAATTGATCGGGACAAGCAGGCTTGCAGCACCAGCCCGGAGACCCAAAGCCCGAGTTGCTGGGTTCTCTTCCGGGTTCTGGCTGGGCAGCCGAGAGTGGACCCGACCGATTCCCACACCGTGGGAGCCTCCCCTCACCTGGGAAACACGATCGATCGCTGTTGTTTTAGGGCCCAGAGTTCAGTCTCCTGGTCACTGCACGGAGTGTGTTGTCCCACTTCTCAGACATGGTGTTCTCCAGGTGCCACCATCTTGGCCCCTCCCTCTCTATTCTTCCCTGTTGGTTTTACTTATAGTATTATATTTTAAGTTCTTAGAAACTATAGAAGATGCTTTCAATTCATTTTGAACATTTTATAGTAACTTGAAAATGTGACATTCAATAATGTTCAACAGTTGACTTCTAAGCCATGCAAACCTGACCTGGGTCGTTTTACATACAACAAGAACAAAGAGTAACCCAGGTAAACCAACATGTGCCAGCCTTCCTAAATAAAATAGATCATTGTTTTGTTTATGGAACTGTCCCAGTCCTGTCAATAAAAATAATACCATTCATCTATGCATGCCATTCTAAAGACTTCAGACTATTTTCATAGACCTGTATAAATTTAGCCTTAGCATTTATAAAATATGCTCCCCATTCCATTAGAACACCATAATGTACTTTAAAAAAATATTAGTTAATCCTCTCTCCGTTTCTTGATCAAGCATTCTATAAACTATTGCATCTAATTCTCAAGTATCTTTTAATTTTTTTTTTTTTACCATATCAGTATATGGCTTGTCAGGAATGTGTATAACACTCATTTTTTTGGACATGTATGTGTATGGTGTGTGTATATATATGCGTGTGTGTGTACATGTATATGTGTTCACATGTGTGGGTGCACACTGAGTGTGCAAGTATATGGGAGGTCAGAGGTTGATGTCAGATGTCTTCCTTGATCATGCTCATCTTCATCTATTGAGACAGGGTCTCCATGTGATACTCTGGTTAACCAGCATGTTACAGGAATCCTGTTTCCAACTCCCAAGTTCTGGCATTACGGGTGGGCTTCTGTGCTGCTGTATGGCTTGTTCTTCTGAATTGCAACCCCTTTTCCGTATTGAAACATTCCTCTTAAAGGGAAGGAGAAGTCACAAAAAAGCCACCGGTGCAGAGAACAAAAACTTGGAAGAGTGCTCACTTCTGCCGAGCTTATACTAAAATCAGAAGGGTACAGAGAAGAAGGGCATGGCCCCGGGCAAGAATGACGCGCAAATTTATTAAGCATTCCATGATTAAAAAAGCAACTTGGAAGATTCGTGAAGACCCCTCTCAACAGTATAATGAAGAGTAAGCAGTTGCTGGTGTGGATATTCTGAACAGCCAAATGGTGAAAAACAGTTAGCCAGAGACGTTCCAGCTGAAGAGCTGCCTCCGAGCTGTAGGGAAAGCTCCAGGGTTGCAGCTTGGGGGAGTCATCATGTAGGTTGGGGTGGGTTTTCTGGTGACACAGGAGTCATCCCTGCCCTTCGTAAGTAAGCCTCCCCGCAAACTCCTGTTGATAACCCCATAAAAAATTCACTAGTCTCACCAAATTGGACATTGATGCAAACTTTACTTTGGTCTGCCAGGGGCTCCTTTTCTGCGATGAGTCGAAATATGTGTTATGTAACCCCAGAACAAGTCTGTCACACAGCACATCCCCGTTTGGCACTTTGTGGGTGCTCTGGCCCTGCTCCAGTCTCTACCCATCAAGGAATGGAGGACTGAGGACGTTATCTATGGAGCTGTCTCCCTGGCCCAGGATTTAAATGCTATTTTCCTCTACTCATCATTGTATAAATCCCTTTCTCTTCAAACATATTTATAAATTTATAATCTACCTGATTTATACTGTACTCTTAGCCATTTATTTTAACTGCTACTTAAAAGTTAATACCGGCAAGTTCTTTTTCCTATTGATGCAGACTTAAATTACATTCAGCTTTTCCCAGGTTTTAAAACAAACAAACAAAAAAAAATGCTGCGGGGTTGAAAAGATGACTCAGCAGTTAAGAGCACTAGCTGCTCTTCCAGAGGTCTTGAGTTCATTCTCAGCAACCACATGGTGGCTCACAACCACCTGTAGTGTGATCTGATGCCCTCTTCTAGCATGCAGGTGCACGTGCAGATGGAGCATGTACATAAGATATCTCATATACATAAATAAATACATCTTTAAAAAATATGCTGCAACAGGCTGGAAAGATGAACACTGGCTGTTCTTTCAAAGGTTCTGAGTTCAAATCCCAGAAAACATACGGTGGCTCATAGTCATCTATAAGGAGATCTGGTGCTCCTCTCTTCTGGTCTGCAGGCACACAAGCAGGCAGAATGATGTAGCAATAATAAATAAATAAATAAATAAATAAATAAATAAATAAATAAATAAATATATTTTTAAATGCTGCAAGGAATTACTGTTAAATTTGGTGTTCATGATCTGTGTCCCTTGTCAGGTCCAGGCACCACCCTCAACAACTGAATTAAAAGAGCCAAAGTATTAGCAGAGAGCAGAAAAGGAGATTTTTATTCAAATTGGCCTCATTGGAAAGAGGGACAAAGAGATTCAGTGACCCTCTCAACTCCATTTTTGGGGTTCTGAAGTGAAACTGAAGTTTAAATAGTAGACCAAGGTTATGCACACCTAAGCAGTCCCGGTCAAGGTATGGTCCCCACTACTGTCAGAATCTGGGCTTCAGACTCTTACTGTAAGGTGACCAGTTTGTACACCTGTGTGAAATCTCTTTCTGGCTGACAAGCTTCCCTGCTAGCTGGGGCCTTCTTTTCTCAGAGTGAAATTCCTGGGGGAATTCTCATTTCTGTGGGGCAGGCTATTTCAACAGTCCGATAGACTGAGAGACTCACGTGTCTCTTTAGATCTTTACCTCTGTCAGGCAGGTTGTAGAATGTTCTTACTCAAAGAGCTTCCCTAGGATATGTATTTACAAGTACTGAGTCTGCATACCTGTAGGTTCGATAATGCCAAATAGCTCCCAACCACCCAGTCCCTCCCTAAAGACCTTCCTATCAACACTACTGCATTGGGGGCCAAGTTTCTAAGCCATAAACTCTGAGGAGATATACAAACTACAGTAGTCAGAAGCAAATGCTATAAAGAAATATAATATATAGTTTACCTCTAATTAAGGAACAGCATTTTACTCAGGAAATAAAATATATAGAAACTGTAATTACTGGAGCTGAAGATATGGCTCAGGGGTTAAGATCACTGACTGAGGGCTGGAGAGATGGCTCAGAGGTAAAGAGCACCAGCTGCTCTTCCAGAGGCCCAAAGGGCAATTCCCAGCAACCACATGGTGGCTCCCAACCATCTACAATGAGATCTGCTGCCTTCTTCTGGCATGCAGACAGAACACTGTATACATAATAAATAAATAAATCTTTCTTAAAAATAAAAACCACTGCCTGCTCTGCCAGACAACTGGGGTTCAAATCCCAGGACCCACATGGCGGCTCATAACTGTCTGTAACTACAGTTCTAGGGAATCCAACACCCTCATACAATCATACATGCAGACAAAACACCAATGCACATATAATAAAAATAAATAAATTATTTTTTTAAAAAGAAAATGTAATTACTTTTTTTTTCTTTTCATTTATTTGGTAAGTCTGGAGACTGATCCCTACGTCATCATTCCAGCCCTAACTTTGCTTTAAAGTTTGTTTCCTCATTCTATACAAATGCCCTTGGCTAAGGTCACACTTTATGAGTGCATTTCAGAATCTTCTGCAAACAGATCTTATGAAGCAGATGAGGGTAAGAACAGAAAAAAAAGGGTCTCTATCCTCCAGGAAGAGAAGGGCCTGGTGAAGCTTGGAGATGCCCAAGTAAACTCTCCAGTTCGTTTAGGAAACACATTCTAGCTGATTCCTTTTCCTGGCAGACTCATGACCTAACAAAATGAATGCTGGGGGAATGTAGGAGTCATGCAAGGGTGGTTTGCCTCTTCATCTGGACATCAGCTTCTAAGTTTGGGCTTTGAACGTCATAAGAATTAATTTTAACTGTCTTCTCTTTCTCGAGTACTGTTAACATTTAAAGTATGTTTAATTTCACTTTCAGCCAGAGCCTGAGGAAAGTGCTAAGAGGTTAAATAATTTACTGAAAGTCACAGCCCACATGCGTTGCTGTCCCTGTTACTTTCAACAACTGGTTGTTTTTTTTTAGGAGTTGTTGCTGGGAATCAAGATAGCTCAACAGGTTAAGACGCTTGCCACTAAACCTGACAACCTGAGTTACATCTCTGGAACTTACATGGGAGGAAGAGAGAACCAGCTCCTGTTAAGTTGTCCATGCCTGTGCCCCCATCTATAAATACACTAAAAATTGGAAGTGGTTATATGAGCAGAGGCCATTGCAGTAGTTGACAGTGGTCTTTAGGGGCCCAGACCAACCAGAAGCTTTGCAAATACACTATAGAACAGGGCCATAATAATAATAATAATAATAATAATAATAATAATAATAATAATAATGGTTGTGAATTAAAGAAGCCCAAACCCACCAGGATGGAGGACAGGAGGGATTCTTACGGCTGTAAAGAAGGAAACTAAAGTGGAATTCTGTCCAAAGTTCTCTAGGTTAGCCTACAAAGAATGCCGCTGAGCTCTTCTGAAAGCAAGCACAAAGCCTCTTTTGTGACTGCTCTGAAAGAAGTGGAGAGTGGTGTGGAGAAATGCTGTTTATGTGCAGATGTAAAGCAAAAGTAGGCCACACGCTAGCAAAGGTCAAAATCTATCTTTCATCAAAGGAATAGAGGAGACTGTGCAAAGCCCACGGCCAGTGGACTAGTGACCCACGGCAAAGAAAAGGCCATTGTTGTAGCTTAAGATAGTTTTGTGAAAGGATTTGTATCGTCCTGCGCTAGCGCACTCGGGGGGGGGGTGGTGGTGTCACAAAATTGGACTGTCTACCACAGCAAGTTACTTCATATGGGAAACATGAGAGGCAAAACATCCCAACAGTCTTGAAATTTCCATTAGATACACAATGCTTAGAGATGGGTCTTTAGAGATGGCGCTTGTTCCACTGAATTAGTTCTTTCTGGGCAACATAAATCACAAATTGGGGGCTATAGCTGATGTCACTGTGGTTGCCTTTGAAGTGTAAGTCATTTTCAGAAGGAATTGCCTGAGCTGTGAGCTTCACACACTCCTCAGGAACAATCCTCCTGTGTCTTGAAATTTGTTATTCACAGGTTTCTCTGAGTGGTGTGTCACACTTGAAAACCACAAGTTTGACTGGGAAGAATGTTCTAGACTCTTGTGAAGATGAGACAAGCCTGTTTAACTATTCGAATTTTATTCTCCCTTTGACGTGAACCTGTGGAACACTCAGATAGGTAACTCATACCTTGTTAGTATTCCTATGAGAGAAAACAGGTAGGCATTTTGCACGCTAGGCAGCACCCACAAACATTACTGCAAGCATTAGCGGTGTTTAAAATGTTTCTGGTTCACAACTGGTGGTTGTATAAATGTGCAAGGCTTAACGTTTAGACACTGTATCTTAGGACATTCTCTTACAATGCAAACCCATACGCTCAGTTTCATTCTGCTTCTCAGGTCAGAGGAGGAGACAGGCTACGCTGGAGTCGGAGGATAAATATCGTTCTACGTGTGTGTTAGTTATATGACCTAAGTAAAGCCACAATCTGTTAATACAGCCATGGATTTTTTTTTTCTCACAATGTCATCAGATATCTTGGTAAAAGTGAAGTTGTGCTTTCCACAGTGGGCAAAATGATCAAAGTTCTTCACTTTCATAGAGTCCAGATTGAGCTGCCAGGCGCTGAAACTCTCCTTCAGGGTTAAAAGCTTGCTTCACATTCAAACCTTTCCCATTTAGTGCTAAATATTTGCTGAACGTTGGTCGAACACGCAGCTGCTTGGGAGCTGGGAGCGTTTGGTTTGGACGGGCTGAAAGGAATAGAAATTAATTCAGAAAAGTGGTTTAAAATATACCAGCTGACCTTCGTAGCCCCTGACAGATATGGTGGAGAAATGATTATAGAGAAAAGTTCCCCACGGGCCACAGAAGGCTTGAGCCTCATGTTTCTCAGCTCTCTGGTTAAACTGGGCTGCTCTGTGACATACCTGTGACGTCTAATCTCGTGTTACATGAGGCCACACCAGCCTCGTTGACTGCTGACACTGTATACCAGCCAGCGTCTTTCTTGTTTACATCTTTTATCAGCAGAGTTACTCTTCCGGCATTATCTTGATATAAGCTGGAAAGCAACAGACAAAAAACTAAGGTACAGGAATTAAGTGGTATGGCTGCCTTATAGAATCTAACTGATAAGGAAAGGCTGTGAAAAATTCCAAGACTGTGTCTAATCAATGTCAAGTGGTTACTGATTTTTTTTTTTTTAAAGTTAGATATCCCACCTATGAGTGGAGGTTTAACCTAGTAGAGAATTTCTCTAGCATGCACAAGATCCTAGGCTGGATCTCTAGGAGACTCATACACCCTTTCTCCTGCTGCTGTCCCCAGAAGTTCCTTTTTAATCTTTTTATGTCATTTATTTTTTGTAGCCATGGTTCTTCATTGTCAACAAAAGATGAATTTTAGACTATTATGTCTTATTTTCAGGATTACTTGAATCTGACTTAAATATGTATTTATAAGAACAGACAACCCAAGATAATAATTTTGTATGTATTTATAATGTGTGTAAAATGTATAACTAGATTCATCCAACCCGTGTACACACCAGTTAAGAAAATATCATCTCAGCTGGGCATGGGGGCCCATGCTTTTAATCCCAACAGTCAGGGGAGGCAGAAGCGGGCGGATCTTTGTGAGGTCAGCCTAGATTACAAAAGTGAGTCTAAGACAGTCAAGGCGGCCCAGAAAAACCCTGTGATGAAAAACAAACAAACATAGACATAGAAAGTAGGAAAAGACAGGAAACAGGACAGGAGTCTTCCATAGAGGGCCTCTGAAAGACTCTGCTCATCAGCATATTGAAACAGATGCTGATACTCATAGCCAAGCTTTGGGCAGAGTGCTGGGAATCTTATGGAAGAAGAGGGAGATAGAAAGACCTGGAGGGGGTGGGCACTCCAGAAAGAGACCAACAGAACCAAAAAATCTGGGCTCAGGGGTACCTGCAGAGACTGATGAATCACCCAAGGACCATGCATGAAGAGGATCTAGACCCCCGGCTCAGATGTAGCCCATAGGCAGCTCAATCTCCATATGGGTTTCCTAGTAAGGGGAGCAGGAGCAGTCTCTGACATAGACTCAGTGGATGGCTCTTTGATCACCTCCCGCTAGTGAGGTGGCCTAAGTAGGCCACAGAGAAAAAGGATACAAGCAGTCCTGATGAGGCTCATGCTAGGGTCAGATTGTAGGGGAGGAGGGCCTCCCCTATCAGTGGACTAGGGGAGGACATGGGGGAAGTGAGGGAGGGTGGGGATGAGAGGAGATGAGGGAGGGGGCTTCAGCTGGGATACAAAGTGAATAAATTGTAATAATAATAATAATAAATTTAAAAAAAAGAAAAAAGGGAAAAAGACAAATGTACTCCAAAATCAAATAAATGTTGCTTTAGTTGAATATGTACACATGTAGAAAATCTCATTCTTTTTATATAGCGATTGTAAAACAATGTGTACATAAAATTTTTAAATTTATGGAATTGTTCCAAAATAAATGTAATTGTATTTTAAAACCCAGCATGCTTTAGTGTTTGGCATTTATCTGATCAATACTTATTAGCACTCAAAACATTAATGTTAGTGATTTTGAATTCTCCAATTATTATAATGCCTAGTTGTAAGTAACCAAGTGATTATTGTTTATATAAATGAATGAACTGTTCTATACCTAAAACAACAACAACAACAAAAAAAAAAAGAAAAACAAACAAATAAGAAAGTCTCATCTCACCTTATCCGATCAGTGTTGAACTGGACCATTTCATTGTTTCTTTTCCAGAAAAGCTTTGGTGGAGGAATAGCTGAGATCTGGCATTCTAGCTTCACTGAATCTCCTTCGAAAACTTTTTTACTCTGTGGCTTGTAGATAAACATTGGTGCTCTTTTATGTTCTTTTGCTGAATATATGTTAGAAATCAATAAAGATCACATTAAGCCGAATTATATACCATTATGAAATTTGTATGTTAACATGAAGGCTTTAAAAAGCAACATCAGGATTGGAAGCTTTTTTCCTCTTAGATAAAATACTGTAACATACATTATTATTTTATTATATTCGGAGTTCTTAAAACGGAATATAATGAGCTATTGATGTTATAACTATCTTTCATTTAAAAAATAAGTCATTTCATCTACAGGGAAGCAGCATGCATGATGGGAAGAATGGAAGAGAGGTATGATTCAGCTCCCTATTGGGGGAAGGCAACTTAGCAGTGGAGGATTTGTCCTGCATGTGCAGGGCTGTGGGCTTGACCCTACAGAATGAGATCTACATGGGCCATGTAAAATTGGAAAATTTTGTTTACTTTCTCTGGGCCTCAGTTTTATCTATTGCTAACTACACTCTCCAAAACCACCAAAATCAAACTCCAGGTTGTAGTGACAGATCTGTCAGAATATGAAAGAACAGATGCTTCGTAATAATATGCAGATGTCAGTAATTATCACAATCACCTACAGCATGAGGAAACGGGAAATGGTGACTGAACACTGAACCTGGCTCTTCTAAAGGAGACATGAAGATGCTGGATGGATTCCAGCCAAGGTGTCTCTCAGCTGGAATAAGACATTATTATGAACCCACTGGCACAAATACGATTTACTCAAAGCTTAATAGCATAAAAAGCGTGTGTACAGGGCGTGCATGCACATATATGTTTTATCCCCAGCTCACTCCCTGATGCTCTGCTTGAGGTCCCTACATCTCTACTATGATCTTAAAGATCTTTCGTTGAGACTAAGCTTAAGAGCACCATCCATCCTTTAACCCAACCAGACTTTTACATAACAAACAGTAATTCATTACATATTTTTTTGTGAGACCATAGTTTAATGCATTAAGGATGACATATTTAAATTACTTGGACATGAGTTTTCATAGAGCTATGATGCCATAGTGTGAGGTGAGAGTTTGTCAGACTCTATTTTCCCAAAGAAATGGGGATTTTGTTTGTAGGGGGCAGTTATAACTGGATGCCACTTTCCTAAAAATTAACACCTACCTACTCTTCATTTTTTTTTTTTCAAGTAGGAATTTACATTATGAGAGCCTGTGACAATTCACATCAGTATGATTCAGAATGGCCATACTGTCGACTATAGAGAAGATAAATTATTAGACTAAAGTTTCTGGTTCGAGCTATATCAACAAATGCCTATACTGTCTTATTTGATCCCTCTAAAATTATATCATATTTTCCCTACTGATTCTTCCTCAGCCATGTTTACGCCTGCTCTATTCACAATAGCTAGGAAATGAAAACAGTCTAAATGCCCTTCAGCTGACAAACGGACAATGAAAGTGTATACATATACATTCAGGTAAAGGAAAAATAATAATGACATTGCAAGTAAATGGATGGAATTAAAACATTTATTGTTTGGGGTAACCCAGACCCAGAAAGAAAAAAAAATTAGTATGTTCTTTCGCATACATGATTCCTAGATCTAAATTTTAAGATGTGGGTATAACTTGGAGCAACTGCAGAAACTAGGAAAGAAAAAAAGGAAAGACTATGGGAGGGGCTGAGGAAGGCCCTCAGAGAGGGGACATAGCTGACTGAAGTGATTGAAAGTCTCCTTTCAAGGACTAGCTTTCATAATACCAAAGGGAAATACATACTGGCAAAAGGGTGAAATACTCGATAGTTCTACCTGGCTCTGCTGAACAATGACTAGCACTACAAGATATACCGAAAGGTGCAGTCAGACATTGGCAGTGACCAACAGCTCTCTGGACTTAAGGCCGACTCAACGGGAAGAGAACCCCACCTGGTACTGGAAACCTAGCCAGCTACCTGGGACTAGTGCATTCATGGAGGCTTAAAATGAGAATTTACTGCTCTCACTTTATTAGACCAGCACAATTCCTTACTGTGTTCTAAATACTTTCCTTACTGTGTTCTAAATACTTATCTTTACACCCATAGGTAAGTGTAGCTCTCATCCCTCATCAAAGAAGCTTCTCTTTGCAGTAGGGTGAGATCATAACTAAAGCATACACCTAGTCAAGTACAGAGAAAAACTGACTGTGAGGTATGCAGCCTCGATAGATCGTTCTACAGCACAGCTCCTGCACCAAAAGCTCAGGAAACATTTTTAAAAATGGGGCAGAAAGATTGTAAGACCCTTAGGAAGAGGAAGTCTGCTGTGGGATTGTGCCTCACAGCACGGGGCTAGAAATATAGGGAACCTTCACCCATGACACCTTAACATTACTTCTGCCTAAACAAGACCTGAGCAAGGAGGATACCAGGAAATGTGCTAAGACGAAAGAGGGAAATCTCACAGAGCTCTATTCTTTGACAAAGAGCTACAGGTAACAGAGAGGGAGACCTGGTCGTCTCAAGGGGTGAGATCCCTAATCAGTTATAAAATACCAATGGTCAGCTCTGAAATCTTACCCAAGAAGCAACGCTAAACAGATTCAGCGGAGTATCTATGTGTCTGTCTATCTCTGATAAACGTAGAAAGAAGCCATACATTTGAGAGGATCAAAGGAAGGACTGGAAGGAGAGGGCATGAGAGGGGCTGGAGGAAGGAAAGGGAAGGGGGAAATAACGTAATTATATCTTAACTCAAATTAAAAGAGAGGAAGCAGGATAAGCAAGCCCTAGGAAGCAAGCCAGGAAGCAGCTTCCTCCATGGATTCTGCTTCTGTTCTTACCCCCAGGTGCCTTGGTTCCCTTCAGTGGACTGTGACTTGGGATATGTAAAGCAAGCCCCTTATTCACCCCTTCCCAATGATTGAATCAATATAAAATTGTAGCACTGACTTATTACCTTTCCAGGAAAGAACCAGAGGTAAAGCCATCATTCGAATTTTACTGTTTTCCTTAAACGTCTTTTTGTTGTTGAAGGCATGAACAGCCATCACACTAGATTCTATAGGTGTTAACCTTAAGCATGAAGTCCTCCAGGTTTTCCTTTTAAAATCTTTTTTTTTATAATACTCTTTTTTTTTTCCAGCCATGTAGCATTTGAAGGATCTCTTTGGAGGCTTACCCAGGACATCCAGTTTCACCGTGAAGGTGGCTTCTCCAGCTCTGTTCCTGGCCACGCACGCATATGAACCTGCATCTGATGCTCTGACCACTTCAAAGATGAGGGAGTGAAAACCCTTCTCGGACACTATCATTTTGTGCAGTTCATCTGACTGCACTGGTCTCCCATCTAGATACCATGACACATCAGGGGCTGGCAGCCCACTCACCTAGAAACAAAACACAGCATTTTTCTATTTATGATTTTCACAGCTTCATAGTCTAGATTTACGGTTGAGAATACAAAACATTTACAAAGCATTTGCAAATATATTTATTGTCAATTTTTATTGTGAAATTATAGACTTGAAATTAATGTATTGTTTTTAGACTACATCTAATTCTTTCAAATACAGCCCTCAGGCTCTTTAGTACCTCTTTTGGTTCCTTTATCTAGAACATTAATTTATAATTTATGTTCCACAAAGAATATGGAAGTGATGACTAGCCAGTCTAGCTAAGAGTGAAACCAAACAAAGTCCTACAGGCAGGTATGTGGGGCTTTCAAGTTAACAAATAGTTTTAAAAAAACAACTCTTGAGCTACAATTTTTCACATAAGTGTTAGTTCTTTAAATGTTTTCATGTGAAGACATTCAACCCTAATAGCAACTCTCACTGATGAGGAATCTGGAAAATTACTTCAGGAGGAAGAGTTTTCAGCTTTAGAATAATAACATGACAGTCTCTTCTGTAAGGGGTGCAAGTCTACTTGAGACACCTATCTCGTGTGTGTGTGTGTGTGTGTGTGTGTGTGTGTGTGTGTCCAGTACATCTGTTTACTCAGGCAATCGCCCTAATTTTATGGCGTGACTACTATTTGTCATTCCCATTTCACCGATGAGGTGATGAAGCATAGGTTAGATACCTTGTCAAATTTTACACAGGTGGAAGGTGGCGCAGCCAGTGTTCAAATGTGTGCCAACTCAGCTTCAGAATTTGTGTTTCTTTTCATTGTACATAGTGTTTTTTCAAGCTGTGTGGCAATCTGTAAAACTTTGGGGAAAGGGACATTTTCCCCAACTTAGTACCCCATTGCTGATATATCCTTAGCATTTAAAAACTCTTACTTTGAAGTCCATTCTGCAGAACCTTCCCTCTTCGATAGACATGTTTTCTGGCACTTGAATGAAGCGGGGCGGGTAAAACTTCTCCTGGATGGCATCCTGGTCATTGGCCTCTGCTCTGGAGGATGATCTACTTCTAAAAAAAATATTAAATATGATTGTGCAGAGACATTCTTCCTTTTCCGTCCACACAAGACAGGGTAGCCATCAGGTTACAAAGCCCAGAGACTTTGGTTTGGTCTGATGGTATGGTGACAATGGAGAGAGGCATTAGGGGTGATGTATTCAGTGGCTTACTTGATTACTGGCAGAAATTTATCAGTTTAGAAACATCTGGTATAAACTGAACAACCCTCTCCTTTTTAAATTATTCCTTATATTGAGCAATGTGTGTCTAATAGTCAATACTGGGTTTTCCGTGTTTTGACAGTTATTTAACATGGAAATGTGGTACTGACTATATGACTAAAATGTTTGTTTTTTTAACTCCTTTTGAGGTAGCTCTGAAATTTGACAATTTTTTCATCATCATTTTTGATATTAGAAAATGCACACTGCGTTTTGAAAGAGCATAATAAACTAGAGGGTTGTATATATGTGTTATATTTTTAGTGCAAAACATTTTAGATTCCAAAATATATCTCTCTTTACAAATTAAACAAAAAATTACCTTACTTGTGATGTGGGAACTTGGAGCCGTGCGTGTTCCGGGTTATGCTGCTTGAGATGAAAACAAAATGAGAATGTTAACACGTAATCGGTCCTTTCAGATGAAGCAGAAGTGAGGAATGGTAGCTGAGAGGAATGTTTCTAGTTGGGCTGTGGCTGTTTCTGTATATCTACCATTTAAGATATAGGACACTAACTGCCTATTTCTTTAATAAGAACCCCACGGAGTTAATAAGATGGTCTCATGAGTGTGATTTATGAAAATCAGCTGGACCCAAATGGCAGGGGAGCTTACTCTTCAGAAAACTGTTTTATGATAAAGGATGATGTGTCCCTTTGATGTGTTTGACATGAGGACAGGCAGTACATGTTGTCCTTTAGCAAAGCAGGAATAGACATGAGGTCACTTGTGCTGGCAGTAGGCAGTGGGTATCAAGCTACTGCTGACAAGTTCCACCAATAACAGTAAACACATATTAGACTGGAAAATACTTCTTCTTTTAGCTCATGGTATAAAGTCCCATTGGACACCATGGGAAATACAGATAAAACTCTAAAAACAATTGAAACATGAATTAGTTCCTGCTTAATAAAAGGATATTTACCTTTTATGATTCATATTGAGTGCCAGAAAATTATTTCTATTTGAAAACAATGTTAGGAATTGAACATTATAACTGGATTAATCGATTATATATTTACTGTTTGCTTGTCTAAATGTTGCTGTGCTTGGCACAGTGAGAGACTGAAAGAAGGAGAAAATATACTCAGCACAAATACCTTTGAATATCTGTACAGGGCCACAGAAAACCTGAGTTCGAGACATTTTGGGGATGAATCTCCTTAACCAATGCATTTTGGCTTTTTAAACACAGTAAACATTTCGGGCTAGTCTTAAGATTCCTTAAATGAAATGTCAAAACAACATATCAATTCAGCAAACAGCCTATTATTTTTTAGCAAAAATATCAAGCCTAATAAGAAAACACAAAATCTTCAAAATAACTATTTTCTAAAACAAACTTAGTTTTAACATATGCTCAGAAATAGCAGAGGTGTATTTTGTCTGTAGTTCCACTGTGATTGAACAACATTTCTTATTACTTAGGATTACTGTTTGAGAGTATAAACAGTAAGATTTAACCTTTCTGGCTTCGTTGTGTTTCTGCTGCCATCCTCTTGTCCTGCCATTACCACCTTCCCTTTAAACACTCTCATAAGCATTAAGTAACTTTTTGAATAATTTCAACCAGTAAAGATAGAGTTGTCTTATTCTGGCTATAACTGAGTTCATGGCCAGAGTTCAACACAGAAGATGCTCCATGTAAATTTGTTGAATGGGTGGAAAAATCAATGAATGAATAAATGAATGAATGAATGAACTGGTCAGTGTCTAAGATCTAGTTCTTACTCCCATTAGAGTCTGCTCCATCCTTTCTAGTTGGTCTAGTTGCCCTTAACAAAAACAAATACATTTTGTGCTTATTTCAAATTTATTTTCTATTTTCATTTTTTTCTGTGTGTTGACATCCAGTTGGACCAGCACCATTTGTTGAAAATGCTGTCTTTTTTTCCACTGAATGGTTTTGGCTTCTTTGTCAAAAATCAAGTACCCATAGGAGTGTGGGTCTTCTATTCAGTTCCATTGATCCTCCTTTCTGTTTATATGCCAATACCATGCAGTTTTTATTACTATTGCTCTGTAGTAACAGCTTGAGATCAGGGATGGAGATATCTCCAGATGATCTGTTGTTGTACAGGATCATTTTGGAGATTCTGAATTTTTCATTTTTCCATATGAAGTTGAGAATTTTTTTTCAAGGTCTGAAAAGAATTGTGTTGGTATTTTGATAGAAATTGCATTGAATCTGTAGATTGCTTTTGGCAGAATGGCCATTTTTACTATGTTAATCCTACTGATCCATGAGCACAGGAGATCTTTCCATCTTCTGATGTCTTCTTCACTTTCTTTCTTCAGAGACTTGAAGTTTTTTTTCAAACAGGTCTTTCACTTGCTTGGTTAGAGTCACACAGATCCCAGCGTCATCTCTGTTGCTCATGTCCTTGTAGACTATTTAAGAGGGCGGTTTAGAGAGGGAGACAGAAAGTGTAACTGCCCTTCAGTTTGCCTTTCTCACTGGACATGTGTCTTTGAGTTAAGTTACCTGTTATAATTATTTGGTCAAGTGCAAGTCTGTGTGTTTCCACTGTATTTTGAAGCTAGTGCTTTTTTTTGGTGGGGGGGGGGAGAGGGAAACGAGCTTTCATTAATCTTAGAGATATTACCCAATAGAATAATTTCATTAGTTTGTTCAGTAAAAGGTGTGTTTAAACTCAGAAGCATCGCAAAAAGAAGTAGATATGTCACAAATACAGTTTAAAATATCAAACAGCTTAATAATAATAATAATAAAAGTGCCCAAGAGGGCCACAGTTGTGTGCCGCTCTGTCCCAGATCCTCAGCAAGCTGAGGAAGGGGGAACAATTAAGCCCAGCTTTAGGGCTGACGTTCCTGTCTCACAACAAACAAACAAACAAACAAACAAACAAACAGCAAAGACCACTGTTACATATCAATCATTTTAAATTACCTGTGGAGAATCTTGGACATCACTGTTTTGAGCCTGAAACACAGCAGCAGCATTCTGCGGTCCTAACAACCTTCGGGCCATCTTCTCCTCATAGGTCAGTCTCTAGAGGACAGTGACAGGGGCGTTTGAATAGGAACACCTCTAAAAACTACTACTCTAAACTGTAGCCCTAAGTTTTGAACCATACCTTCCACAATTACCGAAGAGCCTTGTCTTCAAAATCAAGTGACTAATTCAATTGTATCTGAAGAGCTTATATAATAATTACAGCTGTTTTTATTTGTCCATAAAAATGTACACTAGGTGCAAAAAATTGATTTGATAGTATTTTCTATTAGTTGCTTTGTAAGCAGACATTTTATGTGAAGGTAATCTTATCTATCTATCTATCTATCTATCTATCTATCTATCTATCTATCCATTAATTTATTGAGACAAGATTTCATGGAGCACACACTTGCTTTGAACTCACTATGTAGTGAAAGCTGACTTTCAACTCCTGATCCTCCTGCCTTCACTCTTTCAACTTCAAGAATAACAGAAATGTTTTAGCCCCTTGAGTTTTTTGAGAGAATTATGTGTAAGACAAAATTTTCATTGTATTATCTAGGGTGATTTTTGTTCCTGTTTTGTTTTTGCTTCATCCAATTACTACTGAAAACCAAAAGACTAATAAGGAATTGCAAGCAAATGTTCCTTTAAAAATAAAAAACAAATCCTATTTCTTGCTGCTTTTATGGGCATAGATCTATGAGAGACAGAATTAAGGGTTTTTTTTGTATGTGTAGTTGTGCTGGATATCAATCTTACATTAGATAAGTGCTCTACCACTGAGCTATATCCTCAGCCTTAGAACTTTCTTATTGGAATCAGGTTTTCAGTTTAATTGGACATTTGTAAGAAACAGATAGTTTGCCCACTTGATTTCCATTATGAAGAAGGGTGTCCTTGCATTTCAGCTTTCTCTCCAAATCTTGAATCAATGCTTCTTTTGATCCTTGGATTTCATGGTCAGGAGTCCTTGGAGTAGGCTTAGCATTTGTAGTTTGGGATGGCATGGCATTCACAGGTTGGCTAACTGAGGGTTGTTGATAGCTTTAAAAAAGAAAATGATAGAATTTACGTCATTTCTGTAAGCCATCTTTAGATACGTTGAATCTACTGCTTAGAATTTCTAGTGTTGTTGAGAACAGCAATGATCCTGATAACAGTCAAGAAGGATATAAAAATGGCTACCACCTTAGCTTCTTTCTTGGCAGGAGAGACCTACATAATGGGAGAAAGAATTTAGACACAAGAAGGATATCTAGAAAAACTTGCCTAAAAAATGAGATGGTTAAAGGGCACTTTTGAGTTCTTTTAACCTTAGTGTTGAATTTCTTGTGTGGTGGAGAAGTGGATATCAGGCAGTAGGTGCTACAGCTGCCTCTTCTGGGCAGAAGAGAGAGCTAACTTTAAAACATTCTCTTTCTAGCAACCTGTGATCCCGGGCTAGGTGTGATGGTGTGAAAGTCTTTATGCTAGAGAAATTGGTAAATGCCACCAATCATGGCTTCTTTTTTTAGAGAAGAATTGACCAGCATACCACCCATGTTTTGTGAATATTTTACTACCCCTCAATGGGATCTCTGGCTTTCTTATTAATACCAAGTTCCAGTTAATTTTATACTCAACATGATCCAAGCCACTACATACAAATAACTTTTAATGTAATGATGATTTCTTCAGTATTGCTAAGTTGCTTTTTTTTTTTGGAGTAAAAAAGAAAGGGATAATTAGAGAAAGATAGAGTATAAAAAAGAATTTGGAAAAAATACGACCAATCCAAAAATGATTTGAAGAGTTCAAATTCTTATATAAATTCTGCTTCTCCAAGTTTCCATATTGACATTGGTAAAGAGCAGGGGCAGCAATTAAGGGATCCCTTATTTCTAGCTGTTTATGTGGCTCAAACTTTTCCTAATATTTTACATTGTTTTAACTTAGTTTTCTGATTTAGAACCTACCTGGGAAAATTTGCACCATTCTAGTTAATAGGGGAAAACTGGCCCCTGCTCTATCTAATTATTTTGTATTGATTATAATAAATGTTCCCTAGTCATCCAGATCCAAATGAAATCAAGATTCATAAAAGTACTAGTGGTTTCAGAGGAAATGAAGACTGAGTGGAACCAGAGCCTCCACGTTGTGGGCTGGGGGACCTGGTGATAATTCCAGGGTCTAATGTAAACAGACTGATGAATAACAGGTGCTGTTACTCATCACTGTGACACTTTATGTCCACCAACATAAAGCACAGGTATGAGAGAGCCTGTCAGCTGAGGGAATGGATTTTTATTTTTTTTGGAGTCAAGATATATACTGTCTTAGAAACTGATGATACCAATTATCCCTTTACATTTAGGTATCTGGGTTTTCCAGTTGTCTATATCAATTCTCAATTAAAGTCTGATTTGTTCAAAAAAGTAAATAGTCAAATAAATCAATATATAACTAAATAGTGAGTTCCATTCCTCAATTAAATTCCTGGGTGAAAGTGACAGTATTTCCTTTGCCTTTTAATATTCCTGCAGTGCATGCAATGGTAATTGCCTATAATGACTTTTAATTCTAGAGTCCCATCTGTTTGGTTAAGTGAACTAGAATTAGCCATTTCCGTTCTCATCATTTTATTTCCCAGAAAGCCTGATAAATTGTGAATGACAGCAAGTGTGAGAACCACAAGAAAGCCTCAGTTAGTTGGTTCACTACACATTCTTACAGGCTGCACATCAGATAACATATGTGCTAGACCTCAAACCTGTTCTTATAAACTAGTGCTGTGTTTTCACACTGCTTTATAGGCCCTTTTCTTTAATCACTGACAATCCTCATCACTAAATATGCTAAAGCTCAGAAAAGTGGTTTACCAAGAAGGCTATTTGCTGAATGCCTCACAGCAAGGTCTTTGGAAGGAATAATCAGAATTAAAGAATTCCCCTCACTTTCCACTGTGTAGTTTGATCCACTGCTAAAACTTTGCCTAAGAACTAACTACCACCGAGAAGCAAAATAAGACTTTCGAGTGTCTTTAGGTCAGAAGCCAAGGTATTATTTTAGAAGACAGAGTAATCTTGAGCTCATCATAACAATGAGAATTGTGCACAAATGTTCAAAGGGCCAGGACTTTCTACCCAGCACAGCTGGACAGAATGGGTATCAAGTAGCAATGGCAAGATTAGAAGAGTTATCAACAGTTGCTGAAAATGGAACAGCTAAAGCTGGGCCTTTGATCTCTGGTTTGTAGACCTCCCAGGACTGTCTTCTTAGTCTCTATTTTTGCCTCTCCTCTTCTTAGTTTTTTGCACAAAGCTAGGTATGTGGTTGAGGCACTGTGAATATTTGTTTGATAACTTTTTTTCCCCAAAGCAAAATTACAATAAAATTGAAAGACTTTACTAGGGAAAAATTATAGTCAGAGTAGGTTACATATTTAAGGTCCTGATATAAGAAACTGGGAGGCACTAAGAAGCTACATGAAGTATCATATTAATAATTGTGAACAAGAAATGGCTACAAAGTATGCAATGAATATAACTGGAATTTGTGTGGAGTAGGGGAGGAAGGTGTTCATTTGAAATATTAAGTCAAAACTATGGGAATGTTATATTCTGAGTCAGGAACCATTGACCATCAGCCATTATATATAATTCAGTTTAACATCTATAGAATTTCAACATGTTTTTGAGCATCCTGGTTTTTATTTTTCAAAGTAGGGAATAGGTTCCACTACAAGCTGGGTTGCTGTGGTCAGTTCAGCTGCTTTTCTGGAATTTCAACCAAAACTGTAATTTTCAGAAAAAAAAACTAGCTCAACCATCTTATTTGCTGAACGCTCCGATCATTTATGTAAGTAGACTGAATGTGTATCAGAACTTGATCTCTGTTCTTATCTATAGCGTAATATTGTATATTATCTACAGGCTAATATTGTACTCAGTGCACTGCTCTATAGTCTGCTCAACATCAAACACATCTCTAGAGAAGACAGAAGAATCAGCAAGAGTTCCAGCAGGACTCTGAGAAGACGTGGTCCATCAGACAATGCTTGAGATGCCTCTGATTTCATCTCTGACAGTCTCACCAGCCAAGAACTATGAAAACCGATAGCCCTAAATTTAAATAAGTGCAAAGTATTCAGTTCATGATTTAAAAAAAAACTCAGCTCCACATGGCGTTCTTCCTAGGCCAGCTTCTTCCAGGACAGTCTTCTGCTGTGGAAATATAGTGCACGCTTGCTTCAGGCTGTAGGTATTTGTTCCTGGCTTAGATCATCCAACAAAGTTCAACAAGTTATAGCTTCACTTACCCAAACAAACCTTAAAGCCACAAGACTTCATCTATCTCGGCCTCCCATCTGATTCTAGTAAGGACGGTTTACACAAGTGACCAACCATCTTAGTTCCAGACTTTTAAAAAGTGTTAGTTTTAAATTATATTAGCCAAGAGGATAGTCAGGATTAGAGGGAGAAACTGGTAGGAAGAAAAGACTATGACCGAGAAGAAACTTAATAGCCTTTGCTTATGAGGGAGGAAATCCTATCCACAGAGGAGCAGACAGGTGCTCTGCATCCCAGCCAAGCCAGACCTTAGAGGAATTAAATTTGCAGTAAGAGGAACTTAGCTTCGAGCTAAGCAGAAAGTTCATGGTTCCCTGGTATGTTAGAAGTCCATTTTTCGTTCTTTCTGAAGACGGAAAATAATAGGGACACAACTGTGAGGGAATAATGGGTAATTTGAGTTGCACCCAGCCTGGACACTGGGGAACGCGTTAGATGAGTTCTTACTGTCGGTATCCTGGCTCAACGAGACTGAAGCTCATTCTACCGTTTTACATTCTAAAGGGTAAGAGCAGCCCACCCTCAGATAAAGCACACGGCACGTGCAGCATACACAGATTGACTTACTTGGAGTCCACGGCGGACGGGATTTTACTGTTACTGTAATCAGGTTGAGACGGTAATATGGAGCTGAGGAAGCTGGCTGGGGACTGGTTATAGGCAGCAGAAACCTTTTGGCCTGGGTTGGGGCCAGCAAACTGCTGGGAAGCAGGGTAAGCAGAGGAAGACACGGTGATGTGAGAGCTCACTGTGGAGGAGGCAGAAAACCTCTGCTCCGTGCACTGGCGGGGCTGGATGACGATGGAAGACTGTTTGGTCTGGCTAGGGAAGCTGGAGACTTCCGGTCCTGGAGGCTGCAGTCTGGAGCCACATGGATTTTGGGACTGAATGAAGTGTTTTGGACGTTCGTAGTTAAACATGCTTAGCTGGTATGTGGAAGACGGATTTGCTCCCGGGAGGGTAGAGTCCTGACCGTGGGGTTGCAAGCCTAGAATTACAGAAGGTTGCAGCAAGTCACAAGCAGCCTTAGTCTGGTCCTCCTGGCCAAGATAAGGAGAACACTGTACTCCTGGCGTTGGTGTGTATACTGTTTCTGAAAGGAGGCGGATGATAATTACAGGTTTCATCTAAACCATATTGTTTATTTGACATTGTCAACAAAACCTTCTGTGCCCTTAGGATTGCTTCAAGGTATTTTTCCTGGCTTCTATCGTTTCTCTTTACCTCTGCCTTTGCCCAGGTGGCTCCCTTAGAATACTGGTTCTCAGCCTTTCCAATGCTGCGACCCTTTAATACAGTTCCTCATAAAATTATTTTCGTTGCTACTTCATAGCTGTAATTTTGCTTCTTTTATGAATCATAATATAAATATCTGTGTTTTCTAATGGTCTCAGGTGACCCCTGGGAAAGAGCCGTTCAACCCCTAAGAAGGGGTCGCGACCCACAGGTTGAGAGCCATCGACTTAGATCACGTAGACATGACTCTGTGCTCATCTCTGAATGAAAGCATTTTATGTGTAGGTTTCAAGATACACAACCACACATTTTTCCAAGGAGCTGTTTTTGATAAGAAATTCTTGTGATGCCAATCAATGTGATAGTTCTATCGCCTCATGATTAGATTTCATCCAGACACTGCGAGTTCTTTAACCTCAGAGATGTAAAGTTTTAAAACCAATAGCGGTTAATGTGCGTCAAGTCCTTCAAGACACATTCTTCACATTTCTCATCAGAGTAGATTAATGCCCCGTTTGGCATATCAATTAACATTACTTTAATGTCTGTTTCCCATTTCTCAGTTTCAAAAAGTAGGATGAACATCCAATTCATTATGACCAATTTTGAATTCTTCTTTACTATCACAGTTCACTGCCTCTTCTGTTCCCCTTGATTCTGTATTGATCACACTACCAAGGTAGATGGTAATTAAGGGCTGACTGCGTGCTTGCTTGTCTGTCTGTGTATAATATTTATTACACATTGCATTTGCAAAGCGATGTCATTTTTCTTATAATATTTACTATCAATCACTTTCTAGTGATTGATCTTAGTGGTTTCTTAATTATCTAGTTTAACTTATTTGTTTAATATGTAGTTTAGGCTAGTATTGAAATAATTATAGTTCTTATTATTTTAAATGACAATCAGCAAGTATAGACATAAGTAAAACAACCATGAAACTGGCCTGACAGTAAAGTAAAGATGGGTGCTATTTCTATTACTCTCTCTGGAGTGAGTGGCTTTTTTGTCTCCCTACAGCAGGCCCCATTTTTCCTCATGTTGCTGTTCAAATCCACCCTAAGGGATATCTTTGCCTCTGATTTTTCCCATCCCTATGTTAAATAAAGGCCAGAGCATTGCACAGAGCAACTAGTCCTGCAAATTACTGTAAAATACACTTTTTAATTCAAAATAGCAGTTGAGTTAGCTTAAAAAAACTATTATTTTGCTTCACACACTGTAGAGAAACCCTTAAATCTTGATAAATCAAATGTTTAGCTGCAAAGTTTACCAAATTGTTTATCTATTGAAACTGGGTGCTATATAACTATTTGCATTACAACCTGGAAGAAAATATTGTTCATGATTCATCTAGACCAAGGCAGTTCTTTCTAAGGTTTTCCTGGCTGGCTAGAGTTAAATTAATATTAGCAACAACAAAGCTGTAAGGAACGTGCATAGGAAAAGGCACTATTTGAGAAAGAACACTTGAAAAGTTATGTATTTCCTCATTTCGAGTTTATGAACCCAAATGCTTGCAACCAGAGTGAGTTGTAAAAAATGAACTACATGAGGCCTTTTTATTGTCAGAGAGAAAGTTTGAGAGGGCAGGGCATTTTTAAAAGAAGCTGTTGTTTCCTGAGATAAAAAGGCTTTATTTTAAGATAGCTGGTTTTATAGTGATGGATCTCTTTGCTGAATCTAGAGGTTGGTTCTTAATTTCCTTACTGGGCAGGACAGCTATACAGACTCATTTCCAACAGCAGGTGATCAGTTGCAGGCACAGGCTGCAGATATTTTCCAAAAAGAGCTTCTGGATTTTTTTTTGAAGACATTTTCAGAATGTCAACTGTCTTAAGCATTTTGGTATTTGTCTCTTTACTTAATATTGTATTTTTACAGCTCAGGTAAAGTCGCACTGTTTCAAAACCTTTGTTCTCGTCACCACAGCCTTTCCTACTGATGTTTACACAGTGTTGATGGAGTAGTGTTTCTCCAGAGAACTCTACTCCTCCTCTGTCATGACTATTCTACAGTTCAGCTCTATTTTAGATTCTAACAGTGTTCTTTATCCTAATAATGATGTGTCAATTTTAAAGACTATAAATAAAATATTCTGTCATCTCATATTATAAAAATAATACTTTAGGAATTTTTAATTTAATAGCTAATATTTACTAATATTAACCATTACAGATCCCTCTAGTATAGACTTTCACAAAAGACTGGATTGCGGCCACAGTCCCGAGTCACAATTATAATCTGATCAAATGAACATTTTCAAGGAAAAATAATGCTTTAAAATAAAGTCCCAAAAATCTTTGCCTGTGTCTTCTGCACAGGCCTCCAGTTTCAGTGGACTGAACAGGCCCCATTCTCTTTAAAACTGTGCGACACCATCATAAGATGGGAGCTGTCAGCTTTCCTTCTTTCTTTTTAATCTGAATATCACCTTTGTACTTAGTCCCCCGATTCAAAAAACAAAAACCAAAAACTCAAACCACAGCACAAATAAAGAAGGGACTTACCCTTAGCTCAGAGAGGGCCAGCTTGTCTCAACCCACTACTGAAAAGAAGGGAGCTGCATCTCCTCGCTCAGGCTAATGTGGCTCTGAGCCTAGTGTCACCACACCCTGACTTTTATCAGCTGCCGAACAGTGACATCTGATGTGCTTCCTGTCCATCTACCTATGCAGGCCTGTCAAAGTAAAAGTCCACAATCTACACAGTATCTCAGATGTCTTGGTGATATTTCAGGAATGGGATTACATGAGCTTGTCTCGCTGGCCTCTTTATTTTAGACATGAATTTTGACCATAAGCTAGCAGGCTCAAATAGGGTGAGGGTGGTAACCTGGAAAAAGGGAGAAAGTGGGAGAAAACTTCATTTTTACATGTATTAACGTTGGAGTTTAGAATCTCCCCCTCTGGGGAGATAAGGATAAAGGGAAGGAGACTGAGGACGAGTTGTTCTTCTCTGGTGAGAGAACGAGTAGGGAAGACTGCACACTTGTTTGTGTGTCGCCCTGTATCTGAGACCTTCCTTTTTTTCACTTGCTTAGTAAGAGGGGGATGGAGTCTGATTCAAACAGTGCATTTCAGGAGGAGGTGTGGTCAGGGCACGAGCCAGACACTGGAGTCATGCTGGCATCTGACCCGAAGGCAGACAGGTGGAAAGTGTCATTTAGTTTAGCAAGTTTATTGTCTCTGCCTAACATATGTCCCTGAGACCTAGCATTCTTGTTCTCAGAGTTTTTAAACCCCTTTAACTATCAAACAAGATTAAGTCTGTCAATGCTTTCTTGTCCCATCTCACTTTACACTGAACACAGTTTCCTTCCTTCCTTCCTTCCTTCCTTCCTTCCTTCCTTCCTTCCTTCCTTCCTTCCTTCCTTC